TCTCCTCTCTGTATATCTGCCTTTCCAATGAAAATAAAATAAATCTTTAAATAAATAAATAAATAAACTTCAAAAATAAAGAAAGAATGGTTGGAGCTGGCATTCTAACACAGGGGTTAAGCTGCCATCTGCAACACCAGCGTCCCATAAGAGCACCAATTCAAATCCTGGCTACTCCACTTCCCATCCAGCTCCTGCTAACGAGCCAGGGGAGCAGCATCATTGGTCAAAGTGTCTCATCCCGTACAACCCACATGGGAGACCTGGAAGAAGCTCCTGGCTCCTGGCTTCAACCTGACCCAGCCCCAGCCATTTAAGGATGGAAAATCGGTCTCTCCCCTTCCCACTCTGTCTCCCTCTCTCTGCCTCTCTTTCATAAAAGCCTCTCAAGCTTTCAAATAAATATTTCAAAATCTTTTAAAATGGCAAAAAATTGGAAACCATATTCTGCAAATGGTACAGAGCCCCTCGAAGTTAACGGGGGAAAAAACGTAAAAGTCAGTCCTTTTGCAAATCAGGTAGTTTCCAATTCTTGGCTTTCAACAGAATTGAAAAGGAATCTAATCCAGCTGTCAGCTGAATGATCATTTTAAATGTCTTATAATAATGAGTTCAGCATGTAACTAGAAAGATATTCAAAGCACTGAGTGACATTCGTATGGCAAAGCGCCAACATTGCCATCCACCTTCATGTGTGAACAATGTTTCTTGGGGCTTAAATCTATAAAATAAAAAACTGGGAAGAGAACTAGCACTAATATTCATCCATAGCAATCTAAACTCATTGGGAAAAATGAGATGCTTTATAGTAAAATATTGAGATCATGCCTAATAATTATGTCAATGTAATCTTAATTCAAATTAAAACAAAAGTTGTGCCCTAGCCTTAATAAGACATTTCTAAAAGATTTATTTTTTTATCTGAAGAGCAGAGAGTGGGGGAAAGCGAGATCATCCGTCCACTTCCTGGTTCACTCTCCAAACAGCCACAGCAGTCGTGCTGGGTCAGGTAGAAGCCAGGAGCCAGGAGCTCCATCCAGCTCTCCCACATGGGCAGCAAGGGCAGAAGTACCTGGGCCATCTTCTGCTGCCTTCTCACACACAAGCAGGCTGGCACGTTGATGTCGCAAATGGCACTTTACCTCACAATGCCCCAGAAGACATTTTTATCTAAATTTATTATAGGAGCACACACAAGGCTTATCACTAAAATAACTTCAAGTATAAAATATGTTGGATAGAGTTCTGTGGGAGATTGGATTTGAAATACAAGGTTAAAAGAAGAACAATAAAAATCACCTCACCAAAAAGTGTGAAAATGTGACTAAATGGTGCAAGATCACTAGCAAACCAATAGGTTGGACAATTTTACATTTTCAAACTTTGAACCACTGATTGTAAAAATGTTAGACATAAGCTTTAAAGGCCATCACACAGGATCTCTCAAGACTGTGTTAAAGAGAATACAAGAAAGTTGGGAACTCAGGTGTCTGCGTTGATCACCGGATCAGGAAGATAAACACTGATCACTGAGAAAGGCACACCTCCAGACAGCGTGGGTGAAGAATGTTCAGCCGAAGCAGCGTGACGGCTTCAAGCAGGAAAAGTGGCCGAGTCCACAGATCACATTTCTAAATGGTATTTTTAAAGATTTTTTTTTTGCGGGGGGGAGGGGCTCAGCGCAATGGGCTAATGGCTAAAGTCCTTGCCTTGCACGTGTCAGGATCCCATAGGCGTGCTGGTTCTTATCCCAGCTGCTCCACTTCCCATCCGACTCCCTGCTTGTGTCCTGGGAGAGCAGCTGAGTACGGCCCAAAGCCTTGGGACCCTGCACCCATGTGGGAGACCTGGAGGAAGCTCCTGGCTCTTGGCTTCTGGCTTCAGATTGGCTCAGCTCCAGCCGCTGCGGCCAATTGGGGAGTGAATCATCAGATGGAAGATCTTCTCTCTGTGTCTCCTCTGCATATCTGACTTTCCAATAATAAATAAATAAATCTTTTTTTTTTAAGAAAAAAAAGGTGTATTTTTATTTGAAAGGCAGATTTACAGAAGCAAAGATCTTTCACCTGCTAGGTTGCTCTCCAAATGGCTGCACTGGCCAGAACTGAGCCAATCTAAAGCCAGGACCCAGGAGCTTCTTCTGGGTCTCCTATGGGGGTGCAGGGGCCCAAGGATCTGAGCCATCCTCCAATGCTCTCCCAGACAATAAGCAGGGAGCTCAATCAGCGGTTGAGCAGCTGAGATACAACCCAGGACCCACATGGGATCCCAATGCTAACAAGTGGAGGATGAGCCTGTTGAACCAGTGTGCTGGCCCCCCACTTGTGTTCCGGTGAGATACTTACATACAGCTAGTGTCTCACCAAATCTGCTTCAGGTTTATGAAAAATGGGAAAATAGTCCAGAGGTTGTCATTCGGGTCTGAGTTTTATTCCCCCAAGATTTATTTAGTTGAATGTCAGACAAAAAAAAAGAGGAGAGAAACAGCAAAGCTCTGCAAAGGTCCACAATAACCCAAAACGGTGCTGGTTTCACCCGAGAGCTTGATAACCAGATTGACACAACGGGGGTGTAAGGGGCATGTGAAAGGATCACACACGGCCCCCTTTCCAATCCCAAAGCCTTTCCAGGGATGTTCACAGGACTAACCCAAACAACAGGCTTCGCAGTCCAATTTGAGTCCAATTTGAGAATCTAGGTTCAGCCATGCCCTGGCTGAGGGATGGCAGTGGGTAAAAGCCAGTTAACCTCTCCTAACTGCAACTTATTTATCTCACAGCCCTTGTCTCAAACTAAGTGCTCAACTAATGTGAGCTTAGTAACTCAAATGGCTATTAAAAAAAAAAAAAAAAAACACTCTGCCAATATCGACTTCCACTTTGCCAACTGCTCATCAAAAAGCATAACACGTCTCAGCCTTTTGGCTGTGAGCACAGGTGATTCCACAGGTGTGGACATATTTGCACGAGTGCCTGCAGGACAAAATGTGATGTGTAGTGGCTACTAGGAGGGTATGAGCCTCTCTCATCTCCTCCCTCACAATGTCGAGTTTCTAGTTCACTGCACTTTTGCTTTCTACCTCACTTTACCAAAATTAAATTTTATAATTATTTAAAAATTTTTTAAAGTTCATTTCATTTTATGACAGTTTCGTAGGCTCTGGGATTCCCCCAATCCTTCCCCATGCCCTTCCCCCATGGTGGATTCCTCCACCTTGTTGCAGTATTACAGTTCAAATACAGTCATGATTCCTTCATTGCAAGCATGTCCCATGCATAGAGTCCAGCATCTTATTGTCCAGATAAATTCAACAGTTTCTTGGGGAGACCATCTCTGGTCTGAAAGCAGAGCTGGCAGAATATCATCCCGTCCAATCAAAAGCCACAACATAACATTAACAATTTACAACATTATGGAGTTAATTGACAAGGTATTGATTGGCCAATATGTTAGAAAATGCAAGTTCTTTTTTTTTTTTTTTTTTTGGTAAAGTCAGATACACGAGAGAAGGAGAGACAGAGGAAAACCTTCTGTCCACTGATTCACTCCCCAAGTGGATGTAATGCCAGAACTGAGTCAACCCGAAGCCAGGAGCCAGGAGCTCTTCCGTGTCTCCCACGCAGGTGCAGGGGCCCAAAGCTTTGAGCCGTCCTCGGCTGCTTTCCCAGGCCACAAGCAGGAAGCTGGATGGGAAGTGGAGCAGCTGGGATTAGAACCAGCGCCAGTATGGGATCCTGGTGCATTCAAGGCGAGGACTTTAGCCATTAGGCTACTGCACAGGGCCCAAAGTTTATAGATTTTTAAATGCAAGTTTTATAATACTACCTTAAGAGATATCTTCTAGGCCTTTCACATAGTACAATTTTTAGTATCAAAATTTGGTCACCATCAAAAGAATTTTTCAGGCCTGACAGTGGCCTAATGGCTAAAGTCCTCGTTTTGAATGCACCAGAATCCCATATGGGCACCGGTTCTAATCCCAACAGCTCCACTTCCCATCCAGCTCCCTGCTTGTGACCAGGGAAAGCAGTCGAGGACGGCTCAGAGCATTGGGACCCTGACCCGCATGGGAGACCCGGAAAGGAGTTCCTGGCTCCTGACTTCAGATCGGCACAGCACCAGCCGTTGCGCTCACTCGGGGAGTGAAGCATCAGATGGAAGATCTTCCTCCCTCTCATTTTCTCTGTTTATTTGACTTTGCAATAATAATAAATAAATCTTTTTTAAAAAGTGTTTTTTTCATCTGTACACATAACAATGGAAAACACTGTACTGTACTGCCAATGTTAAAGTAACAGAAGAGTTTGTAATCTCACTCCTTTATGTACAGTAAGAAGGGTAAGTTTGCCCTATCCATCATCTCCTGATGCAAACTGAGAAAACTTCCTCTGCGCGCGTGTGAATAACATGTATCATGTTAGTACTGACACTCAGATCTGACTGCAGAACATTTAAACTCAATTGACAACAGCTGACTTACACACACACGTGTTAACATAAAAGAGAAACTCTTAATGAAAAAAAGAACCATACATCCGATCCTCTCCCTCTCGACTAAAGCTCCTATATATGGGAGTTCATTTCACAAACTCTAATTATTCGCCTGCTGTGAGCCCGGCTCGGCACAAACAGTGAACAAAACAAACACCCCTGAAAACCGGCAGCTTTGCTGCTAGTAGCACGGACGTGCCTGGGCGGTGGAGCCACCCGGGTCCTTGGCACCTACACCTGCTGGCAGCGTCCTCACTCCACCACAGGTTAATCAAGGAAACAGCGCCCCGGATGCAGCGGGCCCTGGCACGCAGCCTTGCTGTGACAGGCGAGCCCGCGCCGAGGACGCAGGGCTGCAGGCGGTCTCCCAGGAGCCAGCAGGCAGGGGCGCCACGTGCAGAGCGAGGCTGGCCCCTGCGCGCGCCCCCGCCGCCCGCGCCCCCGGCCCGCCTTCCCGCGCCGCGCAGGCACCGCCCACCCGCGTCCCCCGGCCCACCCGGCCGCCTTACCGGGCCGCTGGGTCCGCCGCCCCGGCCTGCCGGATCCCGGCGGCCGCCCCGGGGAGCTCCTCCTCGGCCTCCCCGGCCTCCCCGGCCGCCGCGGCCCCGACCCCGGCGGCCGCCTCCGTCTCCGTAGCCGCCTCTCGTCCCGGCCGCCGAGGAGCCGGCCCGCTCGCGGTCACGCTCTCCGCCGGGCCGGTCGCGGCCAGGCCGCCGCCCGCGGCCGCCCCGAGCTCCCCGCTCCGCCTGCATCTGGGCCGCGGCCGACGGAACCGAGCGCGCGGGCCGCGAGGAGACGCCCGGGTCCCACCGGAAGCGGGCCGCCCGGAGCAGCCACGAACCTGCGGCCCCCGGTGGCGGCGAGGCGCCGGGTGCGGGCCGAGGGCGGCGGGGGCGGGGCGGCCCGGGGCCGGGCTGGAGCCTGCGGGAGCCCGGGGGGCTGCAGAGCCGCGCAGGTGGGCGCCGAAGTCGGGGGACCGGAGGGGCTTCCGCGGGGAGCCTCAGCGCATGAGAAATGGGTCGGGGAAGGTCGTAAAAAAAAAAACATCAAAAGTTTGTATAATAGGAACTCGTGTTTGTAGAATAAATAAAAATCATTTGCATAAGAAAAAGGATTATTGGTGTACGCATATATGCCAGCAAGGCTGAGGCTGTGCCGACGTGTTCCTCTGGGAGTGTCTGCGGTTTCAGGACCCAGATCCCGAGAGGAGAGCAGGGTGTGGAGGGACAGGAGAGGCTGCCCGGGACTGCAGCAGCCTAGGCTCACTGGGCAGGTGAGGATGCGACTCTGTTAACACCCTGTGAGATTCTGTTGTCCTAACTCTGCAGCAAAGCTTAATCCTGGAGAGGTTAAACGCGTGTGTAGTTAATGGTGGGACTGGCGTGGTAACTCGGGCAGTCTCAGTCCAGCCCCCTTTTTAATCAAAGAGAAGACAGGAAGAAGGACCAGCTGCTGATGCAGAGGCATGAGAGTCCGGCTGAAGTACTAAAAAGTGATCTGGAAATAAAACCCAACAAGTGTTGTCTTTCCGGTCCTTTCTGGCCCTTTCCTGCACTGTGTATATAGTGTTCATGATGTTCGTCTGTTCTGAGTCAGGCACAAAGCTATATGCCCTGAAAAAAAAAAAAGTATGCCCCGCCCACGAGCTGTTCCCCGACCATAAGGAAGCCAGTGTAGTAAACAGATGAGTTAGGTGCTGTGAATACAGTGATGATTGTTCCGGGGAACTCTCAAGGGAAAAACAGTCCGCCCAAATGAAATGCCTGAGGCTTCATAAGAAATAAATCCTGCTCCTCCCACCCTCCCTCCCAACGACCCAGGCTTCAGTGGGTAAATCCTTGCCTTGCAAGCGCCAGCACTGGTTCATGTCCCAGCTGCTCCACTTCCCATCCAGCTTCCTGCTTGTGGCCTGGGAGAGCAGTCGAGGACGGCCCAAAGCCTTGGGATCCTGCACCCACCCGTGTGGGAGACCCGGAAAGGGTTCCTGGCTTCGGATTGGCTCAGCTGCCACCAGCCGATGAAGCCGTTTGGGGAGATCTTTCTGTCGCTCCTTTTTCTAAATCTTATTTGCCTTTGCAATAAATCTTTGGGAAAAAAAATCCTGAGCTAAAGCCAGATAGTAGAGCTAGAGCGTGCCAGGTTGGTAAGAGGAGAGGGTAGTTTCCAGACAGAGAAGCCCACCTTAACGCCAATCTGTGCCAGCATTGAAGGGTAGCAGGTGAGCTGCCCCCCACCACCGATTCCCATCCAGCCCCCTGCTATTGCGCCTGGCCATTGTGGGTGTCGGAAGTGAGCAAATGGAGATTTGTGTGCTCTCCCCGCTCTGTAACTGCCTTTCAAGTCTTTCTTTTAAATACTAATTTCGAAGTGTTTACTGCTTCAGTGACCAGGTGACCCTGCCACTATTCATATGAGGGGACACTGCTGACTTTGGCTTGGCCCAGCCTTAACTGTTGCAATTAGGACGTGAACTCCTGGATGGCAAGATGGAGATTCATTTTCTTTCTCATCCTCTCTGCCTCTGTTTCTCTCTCACACTCTCCTACCTCCCCACTGGCCTTTGGAATCGATGAAAAATATACATTTTCAGTGATTAAGATGGCAACTTTTCAGAATGCTATCACTGCCTCTGTTTTACACTGAAGAAAACTGAATCATCAAGCAGCTAATTTGCACAGCCTCTTAAGGGACAAGAAGATGCACTTGCTGAATTCATGGCCTCTTGTGTGTGCTGCAGATGCCGTAAGCAGCCCAGAAATGCCTTTGCCCCCTGTAAATTCAAGGTTTTGCAGTTCAATCATGTGTGTTTAGGATGCAGAACATTCCAAGGCCCCCTTCTGAGGCTTCCTGGAGGAGCCCACCGCTGCAGCTCCTCCAGCAGCCATGCGGAGTACGCGTTCCTCGATCCATATGGAGGAAGTGTCTGTCACAGGGGATGAAAAGGCCGCTCAAGCACCTCCTGCACTGAAGCTCATGAATAACAAAGGGAAGGAGCGTGCTCCCGTGTTGCTTTGACTTGACAGTCCTATGTTAAACATATGCTATTGCATGAATAAAAACTTCCATGCTCTCTTCTTGGCAGGATTCATGAAATTTCATGAGATATCGAAAGCGAAGTACTGAATTACAGAGCTAGTGGAAGAACATAAGCTATACTTTTTGCATACTTTTTGTAAATATGGCCTACTTTTTTTTTAAAAAAAAGATAATAATTTCCTAAAGGTAATGGTTCTCGGGGCTGGTGTGATGGCTCAGTGGCTTAAATCCTTGCCTTGCACACACCAGGACTCCATATTTGTGCCAGTCCCATAGGGGTGCCAGCCGCTCCACTTCCCATCCAGCTCCCTGCTTGTGGCCTGAGAAAGCAGCAGAGGATCATCCCTGCACCTGCATGAGAGACCCAGAAGAAGCTACTGGCTCTTGGCTTTGGGTTGACTCAGCTCCAGCTGTTGTGGCTGTTTGGGGAGTGAACCAGTAGATGGAAGATCTTTCTCGCTCTAAATCTGCCTTTCCAATAAAAATAAATCTTAAAAAAAAAAAAAAAGGTAATGGTTCTGTAACATGAACTAGCAACATAGCAAAGACTGAGAACTTGTTACCAATGCAAATTGCTGGTCCTTGTTCTAGGCTCAAGAACTCAGGGTGCAGTGCAGGAACCTGTACTTTAATAAACACACCAGATGGGGCAGTTGTTTGACCTAGCTGTTAAGATGGTGCCCGGGAACCTGCATCCCACATGGGAGTGCCTGGTTCTAGTCCTTGCTAACTCTGCTTCCAGTACAGCCTCCTGCTAATGCCCACCCAGATGGCAGCAGTGATGGGACAAATCCTTGGGCCTGGGCACTCAGAGGGGACTCAGACTGAGCTCCCAGCTCCCAGCCTCAGCCTGGCCGCTGTGGGCATGTGAGGCATGACTCAGCAGATGAGAGACCTGCAATGCCTGCTTTTCCAAGTGATTCTGATACAGGTGAAACATTGTCTCTGTGTAGCATTTGAGGCCTCAAAATAACACAAAAAAATCACAACCTTCCTCATCCAAGACAACACTCAGGTTTTCACTGTTTGATGAAAAATAAATGATAAGACTGAAAATTAAAATGTACCGTCTCCTTGCAAATGTAAGTTTTCTGTGACAGACACAGTCACCTAATTAATGTCCTCTTTCTACGCAGGCAGATTTTCAAGAGTTGAAATGGTTTCTGACGCTTCCCTTATGAACAATGCAGGCTGGAAGACACCGATATGTTTTCTCAAAAAGCTGTCTTTTTCTTTCCTGTACACGTGTTTTGCATCCTCACAGGCCTTAGTGGGAGGGACTCTGGCACGGGCTAGTCCTTGAGCTCAGAATCCACAGCCCTGTGCTGACAGAGATGAGGGAGAGTGAACAGCCCGCCAGGTCCTCATGGTATTTTGGCTTCCTGGGCTGTGGTCAGGATGAGAAGGAACCCAGAAATGAATGGAGCAAACACCCAAAGTACACAATTCATGACCTAATACTTTTTCTGCTTCTACCGTCCCCTCTCGGCTGCTTACCTTGCAGGGACAGTAAGAACACTCATGGAGGAAGGGAGGCAGTTAGAAGAGAATTCTCCCCCTGCTGCTATGGAGGATCCCTGCTCTGGTCTGGGGCCAGGCCCACTCCTTTCCCTGCTGACCTATCTGAGGACGCCTGCCCACCACTGCCTTCACTCTCTCCAGCACTTCAGATTTTTACCCTCCACTGGGTTTTCCACATTTAACATATGGCACGTTGAATGTCTGCCTTTCTTTAAATGACAGCTTGTAATGCTGTCATCCGTATCAGAGTGCCAGTTCTGGCTGCTCTGCTTCCAATTCAGCTGCTGACTTGCTAGTGTGCCTGGGAAAGCAACGGAAAATGGCCCAAGTACTTGGGCCTCTGCCCCTGCCCGCCATCTGGGAGATGAGAATGGAGATCCTGGCTCCGAGTTCAGCCTAGCCCAAACCTGGCTATTTCCAGAGGAGTACACCAGCAACAGATGAAGGATTCTCTGTTCCTCTCCAGCTCTTTATTGTGCTGCGTTTTGAAGTAAGGAAAGAAGGAAGGAAAGGAGGGAAGAGACGGGAGGGAAGGAGGGAAAAGAAGAAGGAAGAGAAGGAGGAAGAAAAAAATAATAAAGGAAAACACACTTACCCTACACCCTAACCCATTCTTCATTCCATTTCTCTACTCCCTTTTATAGTAACCTCCCCAAAGGAGCTATCTACGGGGGTGTTTTTCCCCTCCCTTTCCCTTTTTCAGGTGTTCCCCAAGGGTTATACACCCAACAGTTCATCAAATTGACTTGCCAAGGTTCCCTATGATCTGTAGGCTAGCTAGCTAAATTCAGGGATCAGGGCTTAGTCCTAATCTTACTTGATTTCTCAGCTTCACTTGATAACCGTTGAACACTCCCACCTCATGAAAGCATTTTCTCATTGTTGCTTCCAGAAGAGCAGGCTGTGCCTAGGAATTCAAAGACGAAGAGTGCCTATAATTCTTGACCTTACACCTGTTGCCTAGGTTTGAGATGTAGTCAAGATGTTTTGGATTTCCAGATTGTCACAGAAATCTATTTCTGGCAATCTTTATCAGATTTTCTCATGTCATCTAAATATAAAATTACAATACTTGGAGCTTGTGCTATGGCAGAGTGGGTAAAACTGCAGCCTGTGGTACCAGGATGGGCACCAGCTCAAGTGCCAGCAATCCATGGCTGCACCACCTCCTTGCTAATGCACCTGGGAAAGCAGCAGAGAATGGCTCAAGCCCTTGGGCCCCTGCACCCACAGGAGCGACCTGGAAGAAGGTCCAATCTTGTGGCTTAAGATCAGCCCCAGCATTTGGGGAGTGAACCAGCGGTAGGTCGCTCGCTGTCTCTTGCTCTATAGCTATGCCTTTCAAACAAAAATAATAAAAGAAAATTATAATATTTGCATAGTACTCTGGGAAAACAAGACTACCCCAACAGAAGGGGCCCTGCTTAACCAACTGCTAGGCCGGGGACACCATGCAGAGATCACATAGCTCCAGTTTATGCCTTCTCGTAAAGCAGTGCCACCCATCTTCCTGGGATACAATTACAACGGATTCATGTGGTGTTCTTAGCAGTAGGTCTGTCTCACCTAAACTGATCTAAAGGCTGAAATTTATTCCTATGTTCTCTTTATTCTAAGAACTGTAAAACATTAAGTCCTTCAGTTCAAGAACCATTGCATAATTCTTTTTCTTAAAAAATTTTATATTATTTGAAAGGCAGAATGACAGAACAAGAAAGAGACCTTCTATCCACTAGTTCACTCCCCAAACAGCCGCAATAGGCAGAGCTGAGTCGACCCGAGGCCAGGAGCTTCCTCCAGGTTTCCCATGTGGATGCAGGGGCCCCAGGGCTCGAACCATCTTCTGCTGTTTCCCCAGAACATAAGCAGGGAGTGAGGGAAGTGAAGCAACTGGGGCTACAACCGGTGCCCATATGGGATCTTGGCACTGCCTGTTGAGCCACCACGCTGGCCCCTGTGTATAGCTCCACGGCATCTAATACAGCAAAGGATAGAGTATGTTACAAAAGCATGAGAATCCTGCTTGAAGTGTTACTGCTTCAGAGGCACTGAAAAGTCATTTCCTTCTCTCTTTTTTTAAGATTTATTTTATTTATTTGAAAGAGAAACAAGAGGCATGAAGGAGGAGAGAGAGAGAGAGAGAGATCTTCCATCTATTGGCCCATCAGCCGACTGGGTCTCCCAGATCCAGCAGGGATCCAAGCACAGTGGCAGTCTTCCGCTGCCTTCCCGGGTTGCAGCGGGGAGTTGGTTCAGAAGTACAGCAGCTAGCACTTGAACCAGTGTCCATATGGGATGGCAGCACTGCCAACGGCAGCTTCACTCACCGCCCCACCACACTGACCCTGATATATCTTGTTCTAAAACAGTTCTCAAAAGAAGGCAAGTCAAAGAGTGAGCGCGGTAGCTCGAGTTAAGCCCCTGCGTGGGAAACTCACATCCCATAGCTGAGGCCCAGTTCAAGTCCTGGCTACTCTGCTTCTCATTCCACTTCCTGCTACTGCAGCATGGGGAGGCAGCAGATGACGGCTCAAGTATCTGAGAGACCCCAAAGGAGTTCCTGGTTCCCGGCTTCAGGCAGGCCTAGCCGTGGCTGTGTCCCAGCATTTGGGGTAAGCCTGCAGAGGGAAGCCATTTCTCGGTCACTCTTCAACTCAAGTATATGAAAATGACTAAACATTAAAAAGGCAAGGCCAGAACCTGCCTTCCTCTTGCATGCGATCATTGGAAGTTCTTCCTGATACCCAACCCGGTGTCACCACTGGTGTTCCAAGCCAAGTTGCGTTTGGTTTGTCCCTGAACAGGAAGGAGGGGAAGGTGGCTCAGGCACACTCTTCCTGGCAATGTGAGCTGCTTTGATACTGTCCCCATCTCACTGCACTGGAGATGCTCCAAAGCATGCCGCTTGGTTGCTATAGAAACAGCAAAGAATGGCAAGGACAGGTTGAGGCACAAAGCTTCTCAGAGAAAAAAGCTGTTTCAGAAAAGGTCCAAGCCCACCTTCTGCAAAGCCTCAGCAGCCCTCAAGGCCACCTGTGGAGGGAGAGCCTGCATCTGCAAGGCCTGGTCACCTCTCTCGGTTATTGTGTTGATTTGAGTCCTTTGTAATTTATTGACAACAAAGGAATGTGCCAAGGCGGGAACATGGGGGCTTCCATTGCTGCATGCACGGCCTTCTGCTGAAAGGGAGACATGAGCCCTTCCGCTCCTGGCTAACGCCAGAGCCCTAGCAACACATGCACACCCAACAGTGATCCAATGGAATCTTGTGAAGCTGAATTAAGCAAGTAAGCTCAGGATTCCCATCCCAGATAAATGTTGATTCTGCATTGGCCTTTGAGCCCCACCCCCAAAACAGGAGTTGCCTCTCCATAAACATCACCTTTTACTCAAAAACATTTTGTTACTGATTCAGGGAGTTTATCACAGAAAACAATAATGCCTGAAACCCAATATTCATTTTCAACTGTCATCCAAGAAAGAGAAGAGTCCTTCAGTCATGTAGCTTGCCACCTTTCACAAATGCCTCTGTCTATGCAGAGAACTGACTTGCAGCAGCCTAGGAACTGGAGAAGCTCATTCTCAGGAAAAATCGAAGGAGAAAAAAAAAAAAAAGACATACAATAAATGGAAACACAATTGGAAAGCAAAGATTTCTTGATTTCAAACAGGGCAAATTTTGGGCCCGGTGCCATAGCCTAGTGGCTATAGCCCTCAGCTTGCACGTGCTGAGATCCCATATGGGCACCAGCTCTAATCCTGGCTGCCCTGCTTCCCATCCAGCTCCCTGCTTGTGGCCTGGGAAAGCAGTCAAGGACAGCCCAAAGCCTTGGCACCCTGCACCCGCATGGGAGAGCCGGAAAGAAGTTCCTGGCTCCTGGCTTTGGATCGGCACAGTGCCGGACATTGCAGCTACTTGGGGAGTTAACCAGCAGACAGAAGATTTTTATCTCTAAATCTGCCTTTCCAATGAAAAAATTAATAAATCTTTAAACAACAACAACCAAAAACACAGTTTATGCCCTGAAGGTCATTGTAATCTGAGGTGATTTCACATCCCTCACCTCTTTTCTAAGATTTGTTTTCATTTGAAAGGCAGATTTACAGAGGAAAGATAGAGAAGGTCTTTCATCCACTAGTTCGCTCCTCCAAAGTGCTGCAATGGCCAGAACTGATCTGATCTGAAGCCAGGAGTCAGGAGCCTCTTCCAGGTCTCCCACATGGGTGCAGGGTCCCAAGGCTTTGGGGACGCTGCCTTCCCAGGCCACAAGCAGGGAGCTGATGGGACACAAATCAGTGCCCATGTGGGGTGGTGGTGCCACAGGTGTGAGGATTAGCTTGTTGAGCCCAGGCACCTGCCCGCACCTCTTTTGTGCTCCCCAGTGATTCAGGTTTTTTCGTTTTGGGTTTTGGTTTTTTTAGTTGTCACTCTCAACATCTCAACCCCTTTTTAAAAATGGCCACAAGAGGGCAGCAGCCTCATGCACAAGAAGGGTCCTCGGGCATTGGTAACCACCAAAACTGTTCCGCACAGTAAGCCATGGGTGGAAGAGCAATTCATGCTAATGAATGGAGTTAACATGTTTCCCTCTCTTCCAGATGCTGGCTAACACGTGAGATAGGAGAGAGAAAAATCTAAAACCTACAACTCAAGCCTCATGTAAATTCTTGCGCCAGGATGGAAGGGGAACCGTATCAGAACGCGAGCACGGTCAACGGCACCCCCGTGAATCAGCAGCCTTTGGAACGTCACGGGCTGTGGGAAGTCATCAGCATTGCCGCTGTAACTGCTGTGGTGAGCCTGGTCACCATCGTGGGCAATGTCTTGGTCATGATCTCCTTCAAAGTGAACAGTCAGCTCAAGACGGTCAACAACTATTACCTGCTCAGCTTGGCCTGCGCAGACCTCATCATCGGGGTCTTCTCCATGAACCTCTACACCACCTACATCCTCATGGGCCGCTGGGTGCTTGGGAGTCTGGCTTGCGACCTCTGGCTCGCCCTGGACTATGTGGCCAGCAATGCTTCCGTCATGAACCTTCTGGTGATCAGCTTTGATCGTTACTTTTCCATTACAAGGCCGCTGACGTACCGGGCCAAGCGCACCCCCAAGAGAGCTGGCATCATGATCGGCTTAGCCTGGCTCATCTCCTTCCTGCTCTGGGCCCCGGCAATCCTGTGCTGGCAGTACTTGGTCGGGAAGCGGACAGTGCCCCCACATGAGTGCCAGATCCAGTTCCTCTCTGAGCCCACCATCACTTTCGGCACGGCTATCGCTGCCTTCTACATCCCCGTGTCTGTCATGACGATCCTCTACTGCCGAATTTACCGGGAAACAGAGAAGCGGACCAAGGACTTGGCCGATCTCCAAGGCTCTGACTCTGTGGCCGAGGTGGGGAGGCAGCGGCAGCCAGCACACAGGGCTCTGCTCCGGTCCTGCTTCCGCTGCCCACGACCACCCCTGGGCCAGAGGGAGAGGAGCCAGGTGTCCTGGTCATCCTCCCGCAGGAGCACCTCCACCACCGGGAAGTCCTCGCAAGGCCCTGGCCCTAGTGTCGACTGGGTCAGACCCGAGCAACTCACCGCTGGCAGCAGCTGCCCCTCCTCAGAGGATGAGGACAAGTCTTCCAGTGGCTCTGTCTGCCAAGTGGTCTACAAGAGTCAACCCAAGGAGAGCCCCCAGGAAGAATTCAGTGCTGAGGAGGCCAAGGAAACTTTCACGAAAGCTCAGGCTGAAAAAAATGACTATGACACCCCAAAATATTTCCTGTCTCCAGCTGCTTCTCACAGACCCAAGAGTCAGAAATGTGTGGCCTACAAGTTCCGGTTGGTGGTGAAAGCTGAGGGGTCCCAGGAGGCCAGTAACGGCTGTCGCAAGGTGAAAGTCATGCCCTGTTCCCTCGCAGTGTCCAAGGACCCTCCAGCCAGGGGCCTTGACCCCAGCCTCAGCCACCAAATGACCAAACGGAAGAGGATGGTCCTGGTCAAAGAAAGGAAGGCAGCCCAGACCCTGAGTGCCATTCTCCTGGCCTTCATCCTCACGTGGACCCCGTACAACATCATGGTCCTGGTGTCCACCTTCTGCGACAAGTGTGTCCCCGTCACCCTGTGGCACCTGGGCTACTGGTTGTGCTACGTCAACAGCACTGTCAACCCCATGTGTTATGCCCTCTGCAACAGAACCTTCCGGAAGACCTTTAAGATGCTGCTGCTCTGTCGATGGAAAAAGAAAAAGGCAGAAGAGAAGCTGTACTGGCAGGGGAACAGCAAGCTACCCTGAGCAGTTCACAGCTCTGACCGTCATCTACTTATGGTTTGCTTACGTTCCATTAAAAAAAAATTTTAATTATTTTGAGTCCCTGAGGACTTTTCAGAAATCTCCAGATCTGCTACCAAAAGGAGAGTCAGCAGCAGCCAAGGTTGTGACAGTGAACGATTCCTGTTTATGACCAAGGCCACCTGATGTCACTGGAGTTTGCATGACACACAGACAGATGGAATCATGGCCCTTCATTGGAAGCAAACGTGGGACACTCTGAGCCATGACGTAGGGAACAGTGGGCATTCGTGAAATCTGTCCCAGGGTGCAGTACGTATGTCTGTTGTCCTGTGCAAGGGACAGACAGCAGAATGGACTTCGGGGCTACTGTCGGCTCCAGTGACATTCAGCTGGCTTCTAAGGACACATTACCTTCATAAGCCGATCAGGTCTGACTCTGCAGCTATCCTGTGCTCTGTGCGGGGTGTATGTTCTTGTCCCTACATCTGGGTGGCACTCTGGCGCTTCCCTTCCATTCCCAGTGCCAACTCCTCACAGCTATTGATGCCCACAGAACCATCCTTTCTCCCAGAATCCTGGGAGACCTGGTCACACACCATCCTTTAGGAGGGCTGCCAGTCTGCTAATAAAGATGATCAAATTGCACAATTTGTTTTTACTACTGAAAACTTTTGTCTACAAAAGTCTAATGTACCCACTTAGACTCGGTTATTGCTACTGTGTTCTCAGGAGGCCTTCCTTGGGTACAGACCTTCTGCAGGCATCTAAGCACTATTTTCTGGCATTGTTTTCAGAGGACCTGTTTTCTAACCTCTTCCCGAGGCAAAACCTGCAACAAAACTGTGGAAAAGAAATGTTTGTACTGTTGCTTCTCTCAGAAGCAGACGCACAGAGTTCCTACTCAACAGATTCACTCATCAAGTGGCTCAAACAGCTGGGGTTAGGCCAGGTCACAGTTAACAGAAGGGAACTTTATCTCGGTCTCGCAAGTGAGCAAGAGCCCAGCGAGCTGAGTCGTCACCGCTGCCTGCATGGGCAGGGAGCTGGAGTCAGGGCAGGAACTGGGCATTGAATCCGTGTACTCCGATACGGGATTGAGGCATCGGAACCGCTAAATGCTCACCCCACAGAAATGAACTCAGTTTCAGACATTGCTTTTGAACTTCAAGAACCCCTCTGTAGGCCCCCAATTTCCCGGATGCAGATCCCCAATTCACACAGAGGCACAAGCAGGCCACCATGCTACCTCCAGGGCAAGTGCAATGCTAGGGCTAGAGGGGAGAGGAAGAGCAGAGAGGTGGTAAACAAATGGGAAAAGTTTTCTTTATATTAGGCTTTTCAAACCAAGGCCTAGAAGCAACTTACCCATTCATTCCTCTCTACATCCAGTCAAAATGAGAAGCCTGGGAAAGGTGCAGTGAATGTGGCTATGACCCCTTAAAAATAAAAAGTGCATATTTGAAAACAAAGCATAGATCACAGTAATGCATAAGAAAACAACGAACAGACTCAAGAGAATTAAAAACCAAAAGCAATTGTAATCTCTAAGTGTATATAGTCTAAGACACTTCTTTTTGGTGATTCTGAAAACAAAGCATTGTACAAGAAACTGAAACTATTAAATGGTGCATAACATCAACAGAAGAGCCACAAAGAAAGCAGCACTGTGGTACACAGCCAGGAAATTAACAGCGGGGCTTAAGCCCAGGGCTGAATCTGTTGATTGCATCTGCAGCTGAGTTCTACAGCCCCCAGCCTTCGTTGTCCTTTACTGTAGGCCAGCTCAGTCTCAGCTCTGCTCGCTAAGGGGGTGGAAGAACAGCCGACTGAATTGTCCTGGGAATTGGGTCTGAGTCTGAGTGTGGGAGAGCTGCACCCTGGCACTGCAGAGCACACTCAGCCTCTTACGGGAGGTGCCAGGGAGACTTCGGGGCGATAGATTCCCAGACAGGACAGGGCTGGTCCAGCTGGGCCTCTCGTCCAGCCCTGCAGGGCCTTGACGTTGACATGAAACAGCCCTGCAGCTGCTGAGCCTTTCTGAAGCACAGGTTGACACCTGCCAAGCATTTAGCAGAGCTGAATTAATTGGCTCAGTTCTCTGGCAGTTCTCTGGCAGACGGACTCCCCCCTTCCTGATACCAGCAGGGTGTGGCCACACAAGCAAACCTGCTCCACCAGCTCTAGATGAACAGTTCTTTCTGCTAAAGGCTTTCCTTCCTGACACAAATGAAAATTCCTCTAGAGAAGGGCAACTGAAGTTCACGTTGGGCATTCACTGTTCTCAGGAGACAGATGACCAAGCTCCAGCAAACAAAAAGACACAGAGCCGGAGAGGGACACCCTCGTACCCTTCACAGGCGCTTAGGCCCCAGCCTTCGGTGTCCATCTCATGTGAAATGAATGGGTGGTCTCTGCTTGTTTATCATGGCTTTGAAAGGCAGCATGATTTATAGAAAACTCACACACCTTGACTCAGACCAAAAATACCCCCAAACTACTGAGAGAAACTAGACTTTCCTGAATAAGGTCTCCATGGGGACCTCAGCTGTAAACTACAGGGCCCTGGGGGTGGGTGAGTGGGCAGGGCATGAACCGACATGAGCTCTTAGGCCTCCCGAGCCCCTGGTCTCTCTAGCTGTCTGTGGTAAGCTATGTACAGTAGTCACCTATTGGCCATTGTAACCTTGACAACATGTGATTCATTTCTCCACCACTCTGAGTCTGGTGGCTTCCCAGGCAATCTGTTTTCTGTGTAATTTTCAGTTTAAGCTTCTTCTTGCTATTGCTGGCTTCTGCTTTGCTGCCTTGATGTCTTTTGAGGACAACGCTGGTGTTGGCCCTTTGTAATTGTGAAATCTGTGCCTAATCCTCCAGATTGGAATATCCAGTTGTGAAATCTGTACCTAACACTCTGGATTCGTATATCCAGTTGTCTACTGTAAATACTAAGTTACAGCCAAGGATATGAGAACTTGGCTGTTTTCTGTATTGGAATAGCATTACATTTAACCACACAGTGGTCCAATGAAAAACATTTAAACAAGAACGTGGTCTCAGTGTGTTTGATCCAGATGAATTTGGGATCTCACCATGTTCCGGCTTGTGAGGGTATGATTGACTTATTCTGGTATTTTTCAAGGTCAGAGTTACGGAACAAAGAGACAGAAAGTCTTCCCTCTACTCACTGGTTCTCTCCCCAGATGGTTGCACAGTGCCATCCCCACGCAGGAACAATAGGTTTGTGACAAAATGTGATGGGCAGAGCTCCGGTCACAGCCCTTTATCAGGCAGAGGCTCCGTGTTTCATCTTCAGCCCAGTCATTTCCCTCTCCCTCACATCTCACCAGTAAACACCACGCTTCGTTAGTTCTCAGTGAGGACTCCAGGTTGAGAACTGCAAAGACAGGGAAGGATCCAGAAGCGAACATTTTAAAAACCTGAGAAATAATTTTAAAGTGACAGAAAAGCTGCAATAGAAAAACAAAAACAAAACCTCCCATATCCTTCAGCTACATCCCACATTTGTTTTATTTTTTTTTTTAAGATTTATTTGGAAAGGCAGATTTACAGAGAAAAGGAAACTCAGACAGAAAGATCTTTCATCTGCTGGTTCACTGCTTAAATAGCCATAACAGCTAAAGCTGAGCCAATCTGAAGCCAGAAGCTTCTTCCAGGTATCCACGCAGGTGCAAGGCCCCAAGGCTTTGGGCCATCCTCCATTGCTTTCCCGGGAAATAAGCAGGGAGCTGGTACATATCACGTTTGTTAATGATGTACGATATTTGTGTTGCTACATGTATGTACACACGCCCCTTTTTTCTCAGTTGTAAGTTGCAAGCATCACGTCCATACACCTCTACCTCATTCAGTGTGTGTTTCTCAAATGCAAGATTATTTTATATGCTATAGTACAAATAAAAAGTCAGGACATCTGACATTGCTATATTATTAGGTAAATGGTAATCTGTACTCATGTTTTATCAATTATCCATAAGATGTTCATTCTAAGAATGTCTTTTGTGGACCAGGATCTAATCTACCCTGGATCTACTGCACCAGAATCTAATGCACCCTGGATCTACTGTCATGTCACACTAGATGTCACATTTAATCTGTCTTTGATGACCTGCTCATCAGCACCTGCTATTCAACTTCGCAGTATCACTCTCAGTTTGGGACTATCTGTTGTTCCTTTGTTGTTTTACTTTTCTTGTTTGGGGCAGGAAAGCCATGAGAGTTGTGTCCTCAGGAGAGGACATCATCACTTCAGGAGGTACATGATGCGTTTCTGTCACATGACTGGTGATGTGAACACTGATCAACCTTTTAGGTAGAGTCCTAATATTTGCTTTCAATTCTTTTGTGCTTAAGACAAAAGAAAAAGAGAAACAGAGTCCTCATTGATGGTTCACTCCCTAAATGTCTAGCAGCCAGGCCTTGGCTAGGGCCAAAGCTGGGAGGCAGTAATAGTCCAGGCCTTCTCTGTTGGTGGGAGGACCCTAATCATGTGAGCCATCAATGCTACCTCTCAGAACACAGATTAGCAAGAAGTCCGAGTTGAGAGCCAGAGCGAGGTAATACACCCAGGTATATCAAATTGTTTTGAGCAGAGTTTAACAGCTAGGCTGAGCCAACTACCTTCCCTTGAGAAGTGGAAACTTCCACTCCAGCCAACCCATAGCAGCTCCAGAGGACAAGGGAGAGTCGCTGTCTGTGCCACTGGCCATGGCCAGATCCCACAGCTGGGCGGGGAACAAGGCACAGGGAAAGGCAAGGCTTGTTTGTTCTCCAGTTCACATCCTGTCCTGAGGTTTACTGTAGACTCTAGGCTTTCTGATCAGGATCCTCGCATTCCCCGGGGCTTTCAGAGACTTGGTATCAGTGTCAGTCATGGCCGGTGGGTGACCCCTGCCAGCCACAGCCAGGTTCAGGTTTCCACAGGGAGTTCCTTCAGAATGGAATAGCTTGCCCGACATCAAACAAATTTACTCTGGCTACCTTTGAGTACACTAGGGGACACTCACTACTTAAGGGCAGCCTGAGAGGAATGCTTT